CGTGGTTGCACCTGCGAGGAAGATGAAATACTGTTGTTTCCCGCATGAGATGAACAGCCATCTCCTTTCAGCGTGCATCTGGCCAGCCTCCCCTGTTAAGAAGTCAAATTTAAGAGGTGAGCAACTCCACCTTGCTCCGATACCTTTTCCGTTAAAGCCGGGAGGATTTGTTTTGCCTGCCACTGGCAGAGCTGCTGTTCGCCCAGCGCGGGCAGAGCGAGGGTGGGGGATCTCGCCAGCACAACACGGCGCCTGGCGAACAGGACAGACGCAGATGCTCTACTTCATGCAGCTCCTGTGCTTTGGAGCACGTTGGGACAGGTTGGTTTTGTTGGCAGGGTGCAAGGAAAGGTTACACAGACAGAGGACTGTGGGGGCAGAGCCAGAAACTTCCCTGCGGGCTTAAGACTGGCAGAGGTTACCAGCAAGTCTAATTGCTGCTCTTAGAGCTGCTGCAGGACAGAATGGAAACGGCTGCTGGGTGCAACCCAACTGTCTGCCGACAGGTGATCCTGGACACCAGCCCTACCTAAAGCTGCTCGCAGGAACACAGGCAGGGAACAAGCAGGGGCAGCTGGGCAGGACCATAAATACAACCAACTCGGCCCTCTGCCAGCCGGTATCCTCACGTCAGGGATGGGGGAACCAGCTCTGGTTCTCCTGTTCTGACACCACAGGTGGAGTTTTATTGTTTCCCTACAAAGCAATCGAGATGCTCTTCACTACGGAGCAGCATCTCCTCCTTGGCAAGCAGCTAGTGATAAATCGCTGCTGGGCATGTGTGGGGCTAGTTTACAATGCAAGAGAGCAGAGCATGCTCATCTGTCTTCCTCCCGATTACCTGCAGCCTTGCTGGTCTCCAACCAGCACCGTAAACCAAGAGGCAAATAAGGAAAGCCAAGCCCCCAACCATGGATCTCGCGTCCCTCAGGGCAACCTATTTATGCCAGCCTTAAAGGTTCAGTATGTACAGGCTGGAGGCAAGGACAGGAGAGCTGCGGGGGAACTGCCAGCATCCCGCTCCACGCCATGCACGGCCGGCGGGTGCCCTCTAGTGAGCCGCCTGCCCGGGGAGCCCTGCACGCCGGGGTGCAGCGGGTGCAAGCTGCCTTCACCAGGGCTGCTTCCAGCCCACGCGCAAAGCAAACAGCGTCAAAAACAGCTGGAGAAGGGCTAAGTAACCTCCTGGCGCTACCACCAGCCAAATGATGCCCTGGTTGCCCCTCCTGGGAACCTGGAGCGGCTACAGCCGTCGGCGGCAGTGGGACTGGGGAACCAGCTTAAGAACAACACAGCAAGTACTTTTTCAAGCTGGCTCAGGAGATGAAGCCTAAGCCGTTCCCCTGCTGCCATTCCTGCTGGCTTTTGCAAACACATACATTCGTGCTACAGCCTCCCCTCCCAGCTGCAAGGCAGACGCATCGTGGGAGGGATGGGAGCTCGCTCCCTCCCTGGAAAGAGACACGGGAAGATCACAGGCTGCTTAACTGGTAACAGGCCTTTACTTAAAGGTTTTCACCAAAACACGGTACAAGTGAAAAAATAAACCTACGTTATCTTAGAATGCTCTCAATTTAATTAAATTCATTACACGCAGGACACAAATGGGACATCAATTTTGTGATACAGGTCTCTTTTTAAGAAGTAGTGCAAACACACAGATGTTGTTTAGCAAGCGCTGCTGCTTGTTACCGCAGTGTCTGTGTGGGCGTATATTGAGATGTGGAGTTTTTCTAAACAAGAAAAATATATCTGGGAACAACGGGCTGCAGGGAAAGGTGCCTGGGAGATCCAAGCAGGAAATCACTCTTTCCACAACAGCAAGTCTTTATCTTTGCCAGAGGTACAACACGTTCCTGCCACCTTCATGTATCTTCTCAGACTGATCCTCAGATGTGGTTATGTCTTCTAGGAGAAGTCGGAGACTCTGAAGATAACTGCCGAGTTCAGTGGGCTGTAGCTTCTTGAAGCGCCTGCTCAGCGTGGCAGGCGTGGGGTGTCCCCACAGATGTGTGGGCAGCAAGTGCACATTACCAGGGTAAAACAGCACAGAAAAGCAGGACTGCAATCACAACAGCTGCCTTAATTAATCATGATAAGGTGCAGAGAGCAAGTTGATGGGATGCGTAACCCAGCTTGTGGCACCCGACCCTTCTGCTGGCCAGATACTACCATGTAGTCACAAGCAGGGTCTCGCTCATTTTCAAAGGAGCAAGGAAAATTCCAGCCATTGTGGACAGATAACCGAAGAAGGATTTCCAGAGCAGCAAAGCTGCTGTCCGAAGGTCATCTGTGCTTCCGGAGCTGTTCCAAACACACAGTTTATCACCCTCATAATTTGTGGGTCTCATTCTTGCTCTTGATAGAACAGCCTCACAGTACCTCCTTTTCAAGGATCCTGATGCTGCTTGCCGACGTCCAGATGGCCAAAGAGCATGCACAGGACTCGAGGAGTTCCTTGCTCAGCTTATGGACGAAGACAGAATGGAGAGCGGTGCCCTGGCTCTTTCTTCAATTGCTTAATCGTGGCATCTTCCAAAATCGTCAGCCTTCACTGAAGGCCTCTAGTGAGAGCATTTTGCTTTTTCTTCCAGGACTGGAAGATGAGGCTCAGAACAGGCAGCATGTGAGCAGGCAAAAGCAAGCTACCCCAAGGGGTTTTGAGACACTCGGTTTCCACTCCATTTCCACTTCCATTTGTCCAACAGCCACTTTTTCTCTGCAAGGACAGCTTCTCAGTAGCAGATACAATCCATGTTGGACGCAGAAGGATGGAGCAGACACTGGCAAGCTACATTATGGTTTCCATCAGTCGTGCACCGTAATAAATATGTAACACAGGCAGAAAGTTCATAGCTGTCTTTGTGGAAACACCCACCGTTCAGAAGAAACAAGCACTCTGGGGGGCTGCTCCAAATGATCTCTGTAATTCGTGTAGCGGCTTTGTTTAGGCTAACTCGGCTCGATAATACATCTCAGCAGAGAAGGGACGCTGAGATTTTTGGAGAGAGAGACGAAGAAAAGGCTGATGTGCCGTGCGTGTCAGTAAACAAGAGTTACTGAGAGTAAATGAGAAGAGGCACTTAAACTGGAAAGACTTTCAGGAGTAAATACAGAGGGTGTACCCCTGGCTGCCAATACAATATGTATGGTTTCACACTGCAGAGCACTACACTGTGCTGAACAGCACTATACAGTTGCGAGCCTCATGGTTCCCGTGCTGTATTTAAATACCCACCAAAGTAAGAAATCTGCTCGTTCTAGGGATAACTGGTGCCAAAACTTCTGGCTGAAAAGCTGAGGGATCTAGTAGATGAAACCTGACCTACAGGTACACTTGTGCTAGTGAGACGTCAGCAGGTTCCTGAGGAACAGCAACCAATGTCACCGAAGAAAAAAGCAGTGAAACAGAGAAACCTTTCTAGTCCGGGCATCGAAAGACAGCTGCGCTCAACACTCTCCTATCAGGTGTGCAGCAATGACTGCTAAAGATTACCAAGGACCTCTTCTCTCATATTGCACTTCATAGTAAAACCACTGTAAGAGAGGAGAATTGTCATCTGCTGCAGGACACCAATGACATTCAGAGAACCCAAGTTCACACCCATGGCAGGTAAATGCTCAGCTCCTCCAAAAAACGGGTTTCTGAATTAGGACTCCACATTAACTGCCGCATCTGTAGAAAAGGAAAGTAATGGCACCGCCTGGCCGGTATCTCATCTGCGCTGCAACGCAAGTACTGTAGCTGAGTGCTTTGAGCTAGTTCTTCAACCCATACCTCAAATCTGCACTTCCTAAAAAGTGTCAGAAGAGCAGTTCTTGGTAAATTGCTATTTAGACTTAGACTTAAGTTAAAGCAATAAAACATTCTTCTCCCCTTCTCCTGCACCAAAACTCCCCCCACACTCAAAGCCCCAGCCACAACCTGTGCAGTTACAGCTACACACAGTGTGCTTGCACTGCAATAGCTTATTCTTCTATAGGAAGGAAAATAAATTGTAATATTGTCGTATCTTATGTCCACTAACTATTTCAGTTAAAAAGAATTAAAAACTTGACGTGACACCATGGCTATACTGAGCAAGAAGTCACAGATACAAAGATCATTACACTGAAAGTTATCTTACAGATTTGCTTTTTATCACAAACTGCCACACTGACAACAATTTTCATTTAATAATGGAAGCTGCATACAGATCTCAGTAGGATTTTGGTAGGGATATTCAACCCCATTACCGGAACTTAAACTCTCCTGACTCTTTTTTTTGTTGTCAACGCAAATTACATGCTTTTCAGTGCGGCCAGATCTGAACAATTCAGTAAAACTGCTTTTAGCAAAACATTTAGTTCTTAGAAGCAATTGAGCGAGGGGGAATTCACAGTATTCAGAAACGCCACAAAGTGCCACACCGCACCCTGCTGAGCCCAAGACCCTTAAAAGGAATGAAACTACCTGAAAAGGGAAGAAACTACCCGACAGGAACTCCCTTCTGTGATTCCAGGCGGTAACGGTAACGCTGCTCATTTTAGCATGAGTAAAGTGCATCACCAGCAATTTAACAGCCCTCTAGTTAAGGGAGCAATAAGTCAGCTTTTCCGCGTGGATTGATTCCCATGGACTTACAGACAGTGCGCCAAAACACCAGACGGTTACCCTCTGATTTTTAAAACACAACTGTAAATAACAGCCAATAATAACAGTCTAAATTATAGCCAACATAGAAATAATCACAATACTATGCAAAATATATAGTTCTGACTTTTGGCAGTGATAGGCAGCAATTGCATATAGCACCTACGCTGGTACCTTTGCAGAGAAACAACAACTTTGACATCGCAGTTTGCTGGGACCTTCTGCTGGGGAGGTTCTGGGCCCTTCCACTGCGTGCCTGACCTGCTAGGGCTGGACCAGCACAAGGAGTGTGGAAAACAAAGGGGAAACAGCCTAGAGAAGCACCGAGGTATGAGCACTATCTTCTCTTCTTTTTCTGTCTTCAGGTGTACTTCCTAGATCAGAGAGGGAATTATAGCGAGGATGCCAAAACAGGGTTTATTCTACACACCGTACTAAATTCAAATGCCTGTATACCTGAAAAGTGAAGGCACTACTGCTGCACGATGCAGGCACTCCAAAGCCCTGGAGAACAGGAAGGCTGAGGAAGACCTGAGCACACTTTAGGATATGATCTCAGAAAAGGGTTAGACGTTTTGAAACTGCAAGTTCTAACTGAATTTTAACAGCCAGCAGAGCAACGTGCATAGCTCTGAAGGACAACGTAAATGCTGCAAACAGACTGCAGTGTTAAATCACAGGGAAAGAAAATCAGCGGAGAAAATTAAAAAAACTAACATCAAGCACAGCCCACAGACTAACCAGCTGCAGTCGGTGCTTTACAGGAATTATTTTTTTTTCCCTCAAAGGCCCATATCCTGTCTTGAAAGCCACATCACACTCTAAAGTGAGCATCTTCTATCTAGACTGGCCTGATGAGATGAGGCAGGTAGAAGGTGCAATGGTGCTGTAAGCACAGAGCTATGAGAACATCCCAAAACATGCACAGAGCTGTTACAATTTAATCCAACTGGCAGACCAGATTCTGAGCTAACGTTGGACAGGCTTCATCAAAGCTATGCAGGATGACATAGAACTGTATTTAAATGAAAAAAAGAATCAATAGAAATTAAAAGATCCAATAACAAAGCAAAGTGTAACACTCTATTCTTTTGCCATCTGATATGTGACCTGAGATAGCGATGGATTAAAAGTTTGGGAGGACGTATTTCAAGTCTGGGAGCAAGAGGATCTTCACCTTATCTAACAAACATACATTAAACAAAGAAAAATAATTCTGCAACCAGGTTATTTACTTCTCACTGCCCTCAGGAGAACTGATACTTGGAGAAATGGCTTCTCTAAATTGCAAACACCTTGGTCTACCCTTCCCTCCCACCCTCTTTCCCACCCCTGCATATATATATAGTTCAGATATAGACTTGTCCCTTAGAAGGCATTGCACAGGGTCTGACTTACTGGAGAACACTCCAACAGCCAAAGTTAATACTCTTTCCAAAATTTGTTTTCCGCGGACCGGTTGTCAGAATAGAGAATCCTAGTGACACCACTGAGCTGCAATTAGAAGATTTAGACAATTACAAAGCTAGGGCATAGATACCAATGTGTCGGTCACACCCTGCTCCATACAGGCGTTAATTTAAATGGACATCGAAAAGCGGATGCTGCTTCATTTAATGCAGAGGATTCCTCAGTGTTCTTGGTCAGATTTGAATCTTAATTCTCTTTGGTATTCACCGGCTGAGCTGTGAAGTTAGGGTTTGTGTGAGTGCAAGAAAACCTGTGTGCTATCTTTTGGTGGAGAAGGCCTGAACTGGCACAACTACCCCATAAAGATCCTTATCACCATCTCAATCTCTTTCCTGCACACTGGGCAAGGTGATCTCTTTCTCTTCAGCATCTTTGCACACTTGAAACAGGCCACAAGGTGAGCAGTCCTTCCATGGACAATATTCCCATCCCGTGGTCTGTGATGGCATAAGAAGCAAGGATTCAGCAACTTTTTTATACTCTCTAATGACTGTATTTCTTCCTCCTTTTTATGCTCAGTGAAATGCAACAGAGACTCCTTGCTTTCACATTCTCGTGCCAAATCCAAAGACTCAATAGAGCTGCAGGGATCTACACGTGATTTGTTTTCTACCATGTACAGGTCTTTGGGTTGGCCAACTGGAGCAGAAATAGTCCTTCGGCAGTCCGGGACATCTATCCCTTCATCATCATTTTTGTTTTGCATAGCGTCAATGTCGGACAGAGAAAGAGAATGAGCCAGTTTGGGACAATCTGAGTACCAGTCTTTCCGTAAGGCCCAGCAGCGGTAACAGTACCGTTTGCCTGGAGAGTTAAATTTCTTGCATTTGGTACATTGCCAGCAGTCCTGAGGAATGATTGAGGCAGACAAAAACAGCAGCAAGTTAGTGTATTCTTGCGTACGACTCGTTTCCTCTACATAGGAAAAGCAGCAAAGAAGCTTCATCAAAAAAGGACATTTATTACCGAGTATAAGCTTGCGAATGCATGATTGCTAGTTTGATTATCAGCACCTCAGAAAGCCTAAGGAGAATTTGACTACCCCTGTGCATTCTACAGATGCAGATCTCTTCTTAAGCATTAAAATCTGTCCTTCCTTCCTCCCAGCCTCTGGAAGAATACAATGTTCTCAAGCTGTGCAGTTTATTGAATTTTCAGTATCTCACTCTAAATTCAAGGGTAAGTGAAGGCACTACTGCTGCACGATGCAGGCACTCCAAAGCCCTGGAGAACAGGAAGGCTGAGGAAGACCTGAGCACACTTTAGGATATGATCTCAGAAAAGGGTTAGACGTTTTGAAACTGCAAGTTCTAACTGAATTTTAACAGCCAGCAGAGCAACGTGCATAGCTCTGAAGGACAACGTAAATGCTGCAAACAGACTGCAGTGTTAAATCACAGGGAAAGAAAATCAGCGGAGAAAATTAAAAAAACTAACATCAAGCACAGCCCACAGACTAACCAGCTGCAGTCGGTGCTTTACAGGAATTATTTTTTTTTCCCTCAAAGGCCCATATCCTGTCTTGAAAGCCACATCACACTCTAAAGTGAGCATCTTCTATCTAGACTGGCCTGATGAGATGAGGCAGGTAGAAGGTGCAATGGTGCTGTAAGCACAGAGCTATGAGAACATCCCAAAACATGCACAGAGCTGTTACAATTTAATCCAACTGGCAGACCAGATTCTGAGCTAACGTTGGACAGGCTTCATCAAAGCTATGCAGGATGACATAGAACTGTATTTAAATGAAAAAAAGAATCAATAGAAATTAAAAGATCCAATAACGAAGCAAAGTGTAACACTCTATTCTTTTGCCATCTGATATGTGACCTGAGATAGCGATGGATTAAAAGTTTGGGAGGACGTATTTCAAGTCTGGGAGCAAGAGGATCTTCACCTTATCTAACAAACATACATTAAACAAAGAAAAATAATTCTGCAACCAGGTTATTTACTTCTCACTGCCCTCAGGAGAACTGATACTTGGAGAAATGGCTTCTCTAAATTGCAAACACCTTGGTCTACCCTTCCCTCCCACCCTCTTTCCCACCCCTGCATATATATATAGTTCAGATATAGACTTGTCCCTTAGAAGGCATTGCACAGGGTCTGACTTACTGGAGAACACTCCAACAGCCAAAGTTAATACTCTTTCCAAAATTTGTTTTCCGCGGACCGGTTGTCAGAATAGAGAATCCTAGTGACACCACTGAGCTGCAATTAGAAGATTTAGACAATTACAAAGCTAGGGCATAGATACCAATGTGTCGGTCACACCCTGCTCCATACAGGCGTTAATTTAAATGGACATCGAAAAGCGGATGCTGCTTCATTTAATGCAGAGGATTCCTCAGTGTTCTTGGTCAGATTTGAATCTTAATTCTCTTTGGTATTCACCGGCTGAGCTGTGAAGTTAGGGTTTGTGTGAGTGCAAGAAAACCTGTGTGCTATCTTTTGGTGGAGAAGGCCTGAACTGGCACAACTACCCCATAAAGATCCTTATCACCATCTCAATCTCTTTCCTGCACACTGGGCAAGGTGATCTCTTTCTCTTCAGCATCTTTGCACACTTGAAACAGGCCACAAGGTGAGCAGTCCTTCCATGGACAATATTCCCATCCCGTGGTCTGTGATGGCATAAGAAGCAAGGATTCAGCAACTTTTTTATACTCTCTAATGACTGTATTTCTTCCTCCTTTTTATGCTCAGTGAAATGCAACAGAGACTCCTTGCTTTCACATTCTCGTGCCAAATCCAAAGACTCAATAGAGCTGCAGGGATCTACACGTGATTTGTTTTCTACCATGTACAGGTCTTTGGGTTGGCCAACTGGAGCAGAAATAGTCCTTCGGCAGTCCGGGACATCTATCCCTTCATCATCATTTTTGTTTTGCATAGCGTCAATGTCGGACAGAGAAAGAGAATGAGCCAGTTTGGGACAATCTGAGTACCAGTCTTTCCGTAAGGCCCAGCAGCGGTAACAGTACCGTTTGCCTGGAGAGTTAAATTTCTTGCATTTGGTACATTGCCAGCAGTCCTGAGGAATGATTGAGGCAGACAAAAACAGCAGCAAGTTAGTGTATTCTTGCGTACGACTCGTTTCCTCTACATAGGAAAAGCAGCAAAGAAGCTTCATCAAAAAAGGACATTTATTACCGAGTATAAGCTTGCGAATGCATGATTGCTAGTTTGATTATCAGCACCTCAGAAAGCCTAAGGAGAATTTGACTACCCCTGTGCATTCTACAGATGCAGATCTCTTCTTAAGCATTAAAATCTGTCCTTCCTTCCTCCCAGCCTCTGGAAGAATACAATGTTCTCAAGCTGTCCAGTTTATTGAATTTTCAGTATCTCACTCTAAATTCAAGGGTAGAGCTCCTGGAATGAGTCAGGAATATATTTCCCAGACTCACTAATCATTTAGCATCTGTTGAATATGCACAACTAATAGCAGCTTACTTGATTACCCCACATAGCAAGAGCAAGAGCTGCCCAAGTTCAGAGCTATGATTCAGCTGTCCAAGGCCAGGGACATCCTAATTTGTCAAGCATGCACAGTCTGGAAAATTATGCTAAAAAAAATTGGTGCCATCAGCTGCAAAGAGTATCATGATACACTTTTGCTGACTTACAACAAAACCTCAAAAGGCAGCCTGAAGGACTGGGAGAAAAAAAGGACAGATGAAAGAACACAAATTTGATGTCCCTCAGTATCTGTCATGAGGGAATTCAGAAGAGGAAAGGGGTAGTGAGGAGGGGTGACAACCCAGTAATTACTGCTTATTCTCTCTTTCCACCTTGTTTTTTCATTTAAACAGGGAAAAGAGCTGTAGTCTGTCCTTAGAGAGGCACTGCAAGGGCAAAGACATTACACCAGCAGGTACGCAGGCTCTCCTCCTGACAAAGGCCATGTAAGTATCTCAGAAAAATGGGGTGACATGGGAAGTGGATTGTCTTCTTATCCCAGAGACTACCACAAAACAACTGACAGCTTCAGAGCTGGCCTGGACACCCAGGGCTCAGTGGAACCCTGATCCCGACACAGAAATTTCCACTAACAAGTTTTTTTTTGAGTATGAGCACTTCACTGATTACAAAGTGCCAACTTTAGATTTCCGAATCTCTGCCAAGGACTATACTCCAGATTTCCTTTCAGAGGACAATACAGAATTAACCTTATTAAAACATGCATGGATATTGTTAATGCTAACTTCATACAGCATTAGACCGACCATGCTGGAAACCGAGGGCCTAATCTTCATTCACTTCCTGGGTGTGTGAAGGGACAAGTTAAATCATGAGTAAAAAGCCAGTGGCTGCCCATGCTGACGCTACATTACCCTGCACAAAAGGGAAGAACAACGTAGAAACAAGGACCCTAATCTCCTAGTCAAAATACCCTCCCAGCTAGAGCACGTGTAAGTTCTCTCACGTTGCCACAGAAAGTGGCCGAAATCACGTAAGTTCCAGGACTGCTCTGTGGCCAGGAGAGACACTGGGTGTCTTTGGACTGGGTGGGTCAGAGCATTCATGGGCTGCCAGTGCTCAGTGCCCATCCAGTTAGAATTTAACAGAGCCCTATCCAAAACAAACCAGAGCTGGTCAAGCCAACTTCTTTACGTACCTTCATGTAGGTTACAAAAAAGCTTTTTTGGCTCGATTTTTTGCTTTATTTGGCCTTTGAAACCCATACAAGAATCCGCTTCTCCTACCACAACCAGTAGTAGATGTAGGATGAGTTTTTCCAACTACAGCTAGGACTGCAGCACACTCCAAGCAAGGAACACTGACCTAAAGGATGCCTACCTCAGAAGTGGCTTCTGTATCTGTGTCATCACTTAAGCACTGAGAATCCTCAAAGTCATGCAAACATGCATCCTCGGTCACCTGGAAAGAGTGGATGTGTTGTTATAAGGGCACAATAATCTGTATTTATGATGTGCCTGGCACTGTACACCAAAACTAAAATGACTACATCATCGCCATGAGAATGAAGCCATTTCTAGAAGTGAATGAAAAGCCATTTTATGTACTGTATCTACTCCAGAATGTTGATAACTGTTGCTGGGCTGGTTTACAGTCGTATTTGCCTGTGGTCAACTCATCTCTCTCTCTGACGCACACAAGAATCATACAAATACAAACACATACACACCTGAGCGGTCCTACTCATTTCCATGGAAGAAATCATGAACTCAATCCTTTTAACACACATTTGATTAATTACTCTTGTGACCAATCTTACTAACACCTCAGCTAGCAGACTCAGGCCAGCCTATCTTACACTGCATGCTAACACAACATAAACTGAGATTTTCCTCTTCAAGTCTTTTCATTTGTTAGTCTTGCAGATATTGGCTAGAAATATAGTAAAGTTGCTGCTAGAGTTTTAATTAATTTTAAATTAATTTTGTGCCTTGAAAATACACGCATTTAAACAAAAACCCAAGCAGATTGACTACACAGGAAAGCTATCACCCCATGTACGGAATGGCGACAGCCTTTTCTAGACAGTTTAAACTCTGGATGGTTATAGATCCAGCTCCTCCAAAATCAGCACAGCACCATGAGATCAATTAAACAAGGCCAACCTGTGGAACACATGCACTGTGGCTGTTTGAAGAGGTACCTTTTTGTCACCTTCTTTCACTTCCTCGCAGTCAACCGTTTCCACCTTGACTGCAGCACTGCTATGATCTGACGGGCATTCGTTGAGGAACCACAAGTCATCAGTAGTATCCGAAACAACGGCAGTGTCTATGTCCTGTTGGAAAAGAAACAGGAGAGACCACTTAGAGCTCAGGTTATCAGCAGCAGGAGTACCAGCACTGCAGCCATCGCCACAGCGAATGCCTCTCCCCTTTTCCTCCCTAACAGCCTTCTCAGCCCTGGGCAGCTTCTCCAGTCACCCCTGGAAGAGAAAGGGGCAGCTCACTACTCTCACAAAGACACCCCTTTTTGCAAGCAGCACCATGCTCATTCCCCTTGCTAGCTGGCCGTACAGCAGCTGGCCACCACGCTACAGCCATCTGCACCGCGTAACAACTTTCAGCCCAGAAGAGGGGCAACTCCTGAAATACAACCAATGCTCTGGAGTGCAGAAGGACCTCCAACGGCTGAACACAGCCTTCAGAGAGCGCCTAGTTTATTTAAAAACACTAAAGGTAACCAACCACCTGATGTGAAAGGCTGGGACAGGAACACACAGGGAGAGGCTGAAAATCCTGGAGTGGGAAGGGGAAAGAAAGAACAAGAATGTTTTATTTACTTGGAACCCAAAAGAGGAGAGGAAGAGAATACAGCGCACCTATTTAAAATGTCTACACACCTGGTTAGTCTGAATATCTGTTGATCCATTACTTCTGGACTTGTAATTGCTTCTGAGGTTGCCTAAAAACCACCATGGAAGACCAGCTACATCCCATTCCTCAAACACTAGGTCCAGTTTAGGCTTCTTGCTTTTAGAGAGGTTTTCTATTAAGTCTTTGTCTGTAAGAGCCAAGTAGAATCTAAGTCACGCCACACCTACATTATTTAAGAGACTAGCAGAGAGAAATTTGGCCCTATCCGATTTTAGAAATCTTTCTTGCTCCTTCTTACAGCCAGTTACTGCTAAGAGCTTTGGGATTTGTATGAGTGTACTGGGATGTTAGATCTGCCACACATCTGTACTCGTGTATCTACCCACGTGAACCTGGCAAAATAGTTGCTGCACAACCAAGGTCAGAGAAGCATCCCAGTGTTCCCAGTGTCTCTATAATGGTACAGGTTCTCTTTAGCTTTACCTTACTTTTAAGACTCAATACAGAAACACGAACACTTCTTTCAGAGCTCTAACCAAGTCAACACTGAGTAAATTTCTTGAGTGACTTAAGATGCAGAAAGAACTGGTTTGGATTTAGTTCAAATTTCCAGTGATGGGAGCTCCTAAATCCCAAACCAGGCTCAAAATAGGAAGCAGGAAGGTAAGAATCCATCCTACGTAATCCCGTGCTTCAGCCCCCTTTTTAGCCCGTGCAGTTTAGTCTATGATCCTAAACTCAGCGGTCTGAATTTCAAGATGACCTTGAATCTCTCTCTCTTCCATGCCAAGAGTTTCAAAGGCACAGACAAGGACTGTTTACACCTCTTTTGTACATGCAGCCAGGAAAATATCTACCACTCTCATTTGATCTGGAAATACCCACACTTGCAAAGAAGATTTGGTTTTACAAATTAGGTTCCTTGATATGAGAACAACGTGAGAATAGAAAGTAGAAAAACAGGAAAATTGCCTCTGTAACATCAGAAATCCATATGAGTGAACCAGCAAGAAATCCCCAGACATTAAAACAAAGGCAATGTCTAAATATGAAGGAGCTGTATTACACTTAAGCTGGATAGAAAAAAAATTCCATTGTTATTCAGTTCCCTGATTGGTTTGCAGGTAATGACTGCAGACAGCTCAGGCTGTGTTCTATGTAATCAGAGGAGAGAGTCCCTTGGGAAGATAAATAGATACAAGTATAATTTCAGCATTTAAAATACCCTTTAGCAAGGTCTGTAAGATTTTTCATGGCATTGTTTAGTGATAGATGTGCTTTTGGGGCTTAACCTCCCATTTTATTCAAAGTGTTTGTTTATTTATGAGACCAAATATCCAAGCTAGAAAACACGTCTATCATAAAATACCTTTGGCGAACATTTGCAGTTCTCTCAATCTTTAGCATAAAACAATGATTTTTAAAGATTGTATTCCACAACAGGTTTTTATTAGTCTCCCAACACCCTCCTCCAGCATTTTGCTGATGCAGAGCTCAACGTGTCACAGTGGAGAAGGAGCAGAAGAGCTTGTACACATTGTGTTACTGCAGAAAAGCTGGCACTCACCTTCAGAATTCTCACATTTTTGCTCTGAGGTAGACAAAGCAGAAGCATTGCTTTCACCCTCCATGATGCCAGTGTCAGAACCTTCTTGCCGGCTAAACTGCATGAAGGAAGGAAAAAACAGATGTTAGTCCATCAGAGCTTATAGAGACCAGGGGATGTAGCACTTCCATCCAAGTCACCAGCTGCAGTACAAGACCAAGAAGTTATGAAGAGAAATAAAAGTTTCTGAACAAAAACTACACACTATTAACCCTTTAAGAAGGCTAATGCATCTGTAATCAGCACAAACAATATACTTCCAACCTAGGAAAAATCTTAAGATTGGCAAAAGTCCAAAAGTTGCCATCTTTAATGCAGTAATACTGTGATCTTTGTAACTCTCTGGCCCCCAATGTGAACAGACACCTCCCGGATCAGACTACCTTAATCCCAAAATATACCTGGAAACAAGTTTGAACGTGCAAAGATTTTTCCTAGGTTTCAGATTCTGCCTGAAAGCTTCTGAAAACAATCCTACTAAACACAAAACTTGTTCACACATTTTAGAAAGCTTAATTATTTGGCAATTCCTACTCAGAGAGGGGATGGGAGAGAGGGGGGAAAGACATGAAAATACAAAGCACGCTGGAGGAACTGAGGACTAGAAGTGCTACACCCCAGAGAAACGCGCTCAGAGACTGGTACTCTGTTATGAAGAGAACAGAGAAGGGTCACTCTGTCCCTGCTCTGTGGACTCCAAGAACTTTTCAGGAAGGTGAGGACCTGGCAGCCAAGCAGCACAAAGTTCTGGCAGTCCACCATGCACAGGTACAGAGAAGGGGCACTCTGTACAACAAAAGAAACCACCAGGCAGTGGGTTTACCTTCAGCTGGTCTTGGCTTGGCTTATCGACGCTCTGTTCCTTTGCGAGATTCTGTGCAGCATCTAGATGGCAGGTAAAACAAAAGAAAAAACCTTCCCTGGTAATAACCATTCTCACAACACAGAGAGTCTTCAGCAAGCAACCAACGAGCCAGGCTTGGCAGACCTCTAAGTAACCCTTTAAGAGAAACAGAGCCCTTTCTTCCTTATAAAGCTGGCCATTTCCTAGAGGCATTACTCCAGTATTCCCTAGGCTTCCCAAGGTACATATGGAGGCATTAGCCTATGGAATACAGAGTCTGTGCCTCCTCGGAGATGAAGCTTGATGAAACCTCACAGCAGGTAAGAACCTTCTTCCCAATGTGAAAAACTATTCTTTTTCCTACAGGCTGTCCTGCCATCGCAAGTTTTAGGTCCTTTACACAAGAGGTCTGCATGGAGGCAGAAACCCAGAGCAATAGCAGAGGGTGGGGACTCTCACTTGAAGGCTGGATCAGATCCATGCTGAAGAAGGTGAACAGAGAAGAGTAAGATTTTTATAAATACCTGAGGACACCATCTCTTTCAGCTTAGGCTGAGACAGGAAAAACACCTTTCTTAAAGGGTGTGGGCATGAAGAACAATGACTAGACTAAAGAAGGGAAAATTCCATGCACAGCAAGCTTTTTCCTGGGTAACTGGGTGCACATCCGTAACACAATTTAATCCAGACGATTATGCTGGCCCCAAGAGTTAATTAAAAGGCCAACCTAAATAGCAAGAACAACCAAATTAACAGAAATCTTTCTACATAATAGGAGAGTTGCACTTAGGAAGTCTACCCTTTAAACAGAATGACTTGCTAGAGAACAAAAGATGCAAGGATGGCTCCTGCTTGCTCCCCTTTCAATTTAGCAGAGAACAGTCCGATTCACATCATGAATCACGGCACTGATACGAAGATACTGAAAACTGCTGCAGTAGGCAGAAAAGTGGACCACAAAGCAGTCCATAAAATGGACCAAAACACAGGACCACAAAATGACATGCCTCTATCCCATATTCTTTGCCCTCCATGCACTAGTTCAGCTTTCTTTTCTTCCCTTTTATCACCCTACAACTTCTGCAGTCACTGACTATTTAATACCTGAAGGAAAACAGAAGCCAATTGGCTCATCCATAATTATTTTGGCTCTGCAGGGGCATTAGAAGAGGTAAAGACTTACCCTTCTAACACTTCATAAATAATGCAAACTAGCCTTACTGTGTGAAAAGACGCTCCACTTATTGGAAGGCTTCCTTTTTCCAAGCCAACATATACTAGGAACTGAACACAAAATGTCCTTAAAGTGAGGTATTCCTAAATACACCTCATGTGAGTCACACTTAAGAGTAAAAGCTAGCCAAGTAAGGACACCATCTGATAAAGAGCATTATGTAAGAGCTTAGTCTTTATTACCAAGATGTACTGCAGTCACTTTTTACTTTAAAGTGGCTGAGATAATCTGCAAAATGATGTGCTGATAAGCACTGATTTGGCTAATGAATACAAGCGGCTATTACAAAACACGAAACACGAAGACCTCTTCAAGCCCTATGGCACTTCTAGTTATTCCTATGGTGCGATGAAGGAAAAACAGAGTCATCCTAGACTATGTATTCGTCAAAGGTCTGGTCTGCCAAGCTTGTTTCGTTTTATAGTCACGCACACACATGCAGACACGGTGGTATAACTCAGTGATCATCTCCCTAAAGGAGCAGTATTTCCTTTGGCAGGTTTAAAAATAGTTACACCATGACTGGACCATACATGCACACGCAGGCACACACACACACAGCCACATGCACACACAAAGTAGAAGGGGCGACAGGGCAGCAGAGGAGAGAGTTTCTCTGGGATCCTTTGCTCTCCACATACACTGCCTATAGGGAAGAGGCCAGGCCATCACCAGCGAGGGAAACAGCACTCACACCGTTATTCTGTAGGTAATGTGTTTAGACAAGAGTCCGCTTAGGAAGATTCTTCTATATAAATAGAGAAATGAGGGGGACCTCACAGGCACCAATATATGGCTCAAAGCAGAGGACTAAGCAGTTTGGGGCCATGTTTTCTGAAACAGTTTCTAAATTTGCACAAGCTTTTATGTACGTGTGCAAAAATAGACTAAGCCCTTATGAAGAGCAAAGTCCATATTATCTGCTTAGAGACACCAGAAGTACGGCACAAGACTCCACAACTCTCCTGGTGCAGCACCCTCATGATTTGCACACTTGCAGTTTTATCAGAAGTTTTTTTTCAAATGAAGATTACCAGCCGCACAATGGAAACTGGCTGCAAAGAAGCCATCAGCTGAGGTTAATTTAAGAATAAATTTTAATTTATGATTGGAGGACTTTTGATGTAGATAGATTTGATTTCTCTTACGAGCCGGGAAAGTAACAATGACCTTTAAAGGTTCAAATGTTTGATTAACGTCCAGACCTCTTTGGCTTGCAGAACTAGGCTGGCTTTCCAGCACTCTTACATTCAGTCTCAAGACTATGAAAGCTTAAAGCGAGGTGAGAGCGAGAAGTCGCAGCATGCTATGAAACCGAGAAAAGACTGAGAAATCAATAATGATTTGGATGGGATACTTCAGCCACATTGATTTGTACATCCACAGTATTTAGCTCTGTCAGTGTGCTTCCAGAGTGTGTCTGCTGCCCCGAGGTTTGGCCGTCCATTATAGGCAGCCATGTTACTCAAACAGCTAACTGATTTCATATCACAGCTACTGATGGTGGACACACAGAAAAGACACATACTCAAAGAGATTGTCTTGTCAAAGCCTTCATTAGCAGTTTGTTCCAACTTCAGAAACATTTCTCTTTTCTGAGTATCATTACTTACCCAAGTTACATCAACACTACATTGAATATACTTGCCCATACTGTGACAAACCTACCTGCCATTGCAGCAGAAGTCAGGTTCCGTTTCAACATGTCATAGACTGGGCTGTGGGAAAGAAGGCGACAGTTGAGTATACTCACAAAACCAAACAGCATTACCCTTTTAAACCAGGGACAGAAATTCTCTTTTACTATCCAGAGAGACACTGGAAACTGCGGTGGGGGGGTTTTTTGCCACTCCTAAATGCTTGCTACGGAGAAGTCTAGCTCAGAACTTAACTGAAGGATGCAGATTTTCACTTAAATGTGACATCAAGGGCCTGAGAAGATGCAGAAATTAAAGGGGGAAAAGATGTCACCTCAAGCAGCTCACTGCCTGGACTATTCAGAACTGGCTCTTCAGAACAAAGGCGCTAAACTCAAACTTGTCAAATGCATTACCAATAAGCCACTGAGCAGGGCACTTGGTATTCACGGAGGTTTATGCGACAGTGGACAGAAACAGTGACAGCAAGTCTCCCGTCTCGGCAACCTCTATAACACAACGATCGTTAAAGGTCACTTTTTCCTACCTTGGGTCTTTTACAGAGAAGCTCTCCAGTCCCAGCAGTTCTCCTAGCTGATCTCCTCCACAATAGACAATGTGCTGCTGTCTTTTGTCATATAGCTGCCTCACCATTATATACTGTCCTAGGTAATGCATAACCTGTGGATACATAACATACCATTAGCCATATCTGCAGTTGAAACCAAACCACCGAAGACCGTGAAAATTTGCTTTAGTTTATGATACTTGCCTCCAGCTACCCTATACAGTGCGAGTCACATAGTACCTGCTTATTATGCACATCTGCAATTTGTCAGTGCCTCCCAACCAAGGGAGAGTTATGCTTTACCATATTGCTGTAAGGTTTGTAACTATTAACCCTTGACAAGAAGGAAAACTGAGTCGAAGACGGATAAACAGAAGTCACTCTGCTACGTCACATTAAAACGAAACACGATGTGGGTGATAACACTTTTATCTGGGCAGTCTCCCTCGGTGAGAGATGGAGACTGCTGCTGTTCAACTCAGAGTAGAGAAGAGAAGGAAATGGGTGGGGAGGAGGCAGAAGGTATCCCCAGTTAAAAGAATAAGCTATTACTAAAGAATGACCACAAGTTACAGTGCTGTCCCTCAGGAGACAGTTTGCAAGACGCAAAAATAAGTGCATTAGTATCACAAAGAAGGATGGAGAGGAAACATCCTCTGAGAGCTAGCGGACACTGCCAGCTACAGTGAGGAATCCAGAGTACAAGAGGAGAAAGCCAAGTGCGTTAAGCATAATATAGGCAGGTTCCATCCCCCATTACCCACCAAAGTGACCCCCCTGAATGAAAGTGTCACCAAAAAGTTGCTAACAGTAGTCCATTCACTGCAGAAAAAAATTACTTAACTGAGTTAAAATGTTAATCTATACAAGTAACCTGCATTTAATACTCAACTCCCCCCATTTAAACCATTTAATTTGTTTTTGCAAAAATTTTTAGAAGCTAAATAAGTTATTTAAATGCATAAGCATTTAAAATAAGTCACAGGGCTCTGCAGGAATATTTGACACATTCATAATGAAAAACCACTGCATTTAATTCTTTGCAGACAGGATACTCTTGTAAATCACAGTCAGTGTCATTTTTTTTAATCTTGTACACATATTGCATTTTAATCTTATCAATGAATTCACAGGGTCTCTTAGGTTTAGCTGACAAGCCATTTCAAAGGAAAGTTAAAGAAAAATATCAACTAGGATTCAATTTTTAAGACTTTCATGCACTGAGCAGAGAGCGAGACAATTGAACAGAATCTCCTACAAGCTCTGAGCAATGTGGCTATCCCATCCCTCCTTTCTCTAAAGAGGTTTCTGCTTTTCCAGGATAAATAATTTTCTTTAATATTTCACACTCCTATTCCAATTCCTCCGGGGGCTCTCAAGGCAATTTATGATCAACCAAATCACAACAGCCCTGCGGGTAAGGTATCCCTATTCTGCAGACAGGGCTTCAAAGTACAAGAAAATTAATAGCCAGTCCCATCCCTTCCCCACAAAGAGCCATCTCCCAAACAACCAGGGACAGGCACAGTTTCAGTGCCTAGAACCTGAACCCACCTCCTTCAGTGTGAAGGTTTCACCTTGGGCACCTGCAGCTTGCAGAATCTTCAGAAGCGGCAGTTTGGGTCGCACCTAAAACACAAAGCACAGAGTTTTGTTTGAATGACACGAAGCGGTGCCCTGCTGAGAGAAAGCACCTCACCCTGGCACGCGTGCCTGCATATCACAGCTAACAAACCCAAGTTGCCCAAGTCAACCCGTGTAAGACTGTCACACCAAGCACAGAGCTGACAACCGTGGCATGACCTGGAGGTGGAGGGGAAACACCGCTTGCCTCGGGTTAACCTGCTGAAGGCTGGTATTCTTTTTTACAAGTAATCTGCATGGACAAACGCTTAAAAAGAAGTTAGAAGGACTGGAAATCAGCACAATCATTCTGACTCAAGTGCAAGACAAAAAAAGCCAAGGAATTTGGGCAGCCAGCTCTAAAGGCTTTAATCACTCACATTGTCCCATTAACTTTGATGTCATTCATTCTGTGAGGGAAGATTGGAAACTCAGACCCTTGGTATGGAGTCCTAGGCAGTGACTAACCAAATGTACTGAGTCATATATTTAGGAGCAATGATGGTGCACTCAGATTGCCACTTCAAGAGCAGCATGCCTGAATTTTCTCAATTAGTGCAGTGAACAAATCAGGTCTGCTCTGTACAGACCTTAGGGAGTATGTATTTATTAGGATCCATGAATAGGCACATGATAATAAGACTGCATTAAACACAAGGTGTGGTTAATTAACACCAAGGATCAGAACCTGTATTTTCTGTGGATCTCACTCATCAACCAAAATCTTTATTATATAAAATATAAAGCTCTCTGGGAATGATGCAACTGCTCCACAACCCCTTGGGGTTTCACCCACACACCCAAGCAGCTTTGAGTAGCACATGAAACAGATGATGCTATATAAAACAGCAGCAAGTTTTAAATAGCTATTTCCCCCCTACGTTGCTACTTCATCTACTCCACAAGAATTTTAACAATTCCTAGGAGAGTGCCACCACATGATCTGATGCCTTGTGTTCCCTAAAAATGTCAGAAAGCCCTCACTGTTCTCTGAATGCTACACAATTGTGTACAATAATACTAATTCCCACACTGAATCTCTTCCTCTGTTCTCCTTGTCTATCAGATGCTAATACAGCAAGATATTTCAATCCATCACAGGACAGAAACCTCAGCGCATGATGTTCATTGCTGTTTCCCCTTTGACAAGGCTAATGCTTTCTCAAGGCATGTAATCCATGCTGGGTAGTAAAGGCCCTCACCTATCAACGTTAGGTGGGTTCACCTGTGTCTCACACCCACCCCTCCTTTCTGCCTATATAAATGCAGTTGCAACCCCTACTTCCCCTTCCAAGGAGTAGAGCCTGTTTGCAGCCCTGCAACATCTCCTCAAGAGACAGCTTGAGCTGCAGCACCATTTTCCTGCACAAGGTAAGAGCAGGTTTTGGTTGCCTGTCACGAACGTAATTTGTCACTCAGCTATCTGATGGTTTCTTGGCAAGGTATTTGTTCCACTGTTTTCTAATATTGTAAAAAAGTCATCCCTTCTGTGAATGTGTCTGGTCTGCCTGTTTTCTCATTACTGCGTTTGCTAAATGCATTTTCAAGCTCAAACAGAACAGCTTGCGTCCAGCCCCAAGTCTCTTTATCAAGAACAGCTTTTTCACTAGGAAAAAGCTCAGCACAACTAAAATGAGTGCTTGTATCAGCACATCGTTTTTAATAAGATGAAATTATGTGTTTGCATTCATTCATTTCTCTAATGACCACTCTCAAATGGATTTTGAAGTAACTTCTTACACATTTCTTTCTGATTAAAGAAGTAACCTAGTTAGCTTGATCGTTTTAAAATGGGCCCTTTGCTACCACTGTACAGCCAAAATGGAAGTGTTTATTCTGCACTGCCTGGGACACTGAGTGTTGACAATCAATATTTTGCTACTAATATCAGAGCCTATTTACTTATTTTTTCATGCAGAGTGAGTTGAATAAACAAGCATATACATCAATTCTACATAGGACTTGGCTATGTTTCAAAGCTTCTAAAGTAAGCCTCAAATGGGAGGATCTCTCAACTTCCCATCAGCTTATTTCCACTCCTACCACATCCCCTCATATTGTGGAGACACTTTTTCCAATTAATAGACTCAGGAAGGTTGGATGCCTGTCTTGGAGAAACTTTCCTGATTTTTAGACCAGATTTCTGCTGTTATCGTTTGCAAATTTCTCTTCTCTGACTGGCTGTCAATGTGGTGTTGAGCCACACTCAAACCACACACCTGCCACGCTGGCCTTGGCTCGCAGCTACAACTACCTTTTGTTCCAGGAACACTCGAGGAATAGTCAATAATGAGAGCACTACATGTTCAATACTTACCTACGCTGACTCCAAAAAAGGCACGGGGATGCATTACTGGCTAGACAAAGTTCAGCTTACAAGGTTACAAAGCTCCAATACAATTGTCACAAGTAGTCCAGCACTAGGAGGAATGCTGTACTTCAAGTACAGGTCCAGCACAAAAATATGCATCATACAATTTCTTGTATGGCCAGTTTTAACTGCTTTTTCCCCTCCTCCCCCCTTTAAAATGTTCATAAATCATCAATCTGATAGCAAAAGCTAATATAACTCCTCAGGATAAAAGCCCTACTCTGTTAGGCTCAATTCTTCTTACTTAGGTGTACTCGAGTGCTTTGATTTGATGGAAGAAATCACTGCTTTACTGAGGAGAAAGCAGTGAAGATCAGTGGGAGAAATAATTACCTGGTTAACTTGTCCGAGTGTGATTCTGTGGGCATTCTCAGCTGCTGGATGCTGGGCAGAGCTTGAAGATGTCATTGTGGCAGTGATTAGCTGTTTAGAGCACAAACCTATAAATGAGAAGGTTCATGTACCAGTTAAGCTGAGAAACCTGGTCTTGAGTTTAACCACTTCCACTTCTTAGCAGCTTCAGGAAACCAGTGTTTAAAATTAGCCCTGCATGTGTTACCTTAAATGACTGCTGTATAATGCTAATGTTACTGTGCCCCTCACCTGCTCAGTCCAAACTGATCTGCTTTGTCCTACCCAAGTGGCATCCAGCTGCCCGGTGCCTGACAAACCACCATGTGAGAACAACTGGGACAGATTTGCTGTGGCACTGAGGATGCTTTGACTCTGCCCGTCTCTAGGAGTGACACAACATGGTGGGGAACTTGGGGACCTGCCAGCTCAAGGGAACTGCCAGTCTCCATCAGGCCGTTAGCAAACTCTTAACATGGTGAAATCCTTGAGTCAGAGGCAGGGAAATAGAAGCTGAGTCACAACCAACCACAATGGAAATCTTCACAAGACAGCAACCCTGTGATTGCCCAAAAGGAGGAGTAGTCAGTGCTGATGGCAATGATTAACACATTCCCCACCTGCTTTTCCAAGAGCTGAAAACCTGCTAAAGCTGCTGCAGCCTTTATACCAAATGACTAGATGCAGGCTATAAATTAACAGTTTTAACAGAATTACTGGGTGAGCAGGGGAGAAATGGTCCTTTCCTGGAAAGGAACAAAAGGGGAAGTCCTGCAGCTATTTGAATTTGTCAAGCCCTATCAGTTTCAGTATCTATCCAAAGAGCACAGCTTCATATGCAGAATGATCTGTAATGACTCATGTTCACAGCACAATCCAGTTTAATCTACCCCACACAACAAGTTTGAAAACTTTATGTTGAAAGAGAAAGGATGGTGTAAATTAACTAGCCACTGAAAAGAAGTAGCTTGAACCTGCTGGAGAAGGAACTTAGGTCTTAGTCCCAGCGCTAAAGCGCAGACCAATATACCTGTAAAATTGTTGTGTGTCCCTGGACCTAGTTACAATAAAATCTCCATTTCAGTGTGAATCTGGTTGCACTTCTGCAGGCAATACTGAAACAAGTCCTGCAACTGCCATTTTGGTAAACTTAAGGCTAGAGCATGAGATGAACTAAAAAGACTGGCTCCTGAATTTGCCTACATAGATACAACTTTGGGAAAGTTTTTACTGTGTGGAATCTGGAAGAAGTGTCAACTTTTAACCCATGTGGTAGCTTAAATTAGATTTCAAAATGTGAAGCCAAAAACTTTCAAAGCAATACCTAAATTGTCTTTCACAGAATTTTCCAGATATAGTAAATGAATTTGTTATTACTGCATCAGTTATAAAGAATGTGAGCCAGTATGATTAGCTACATTAAAAAGTGAATACTAGCAAAATAACTAGACTTATGCCTGAGGAATGTAACCAAACATTTTAGATGCAGACAAAACAGGCTGAACATCTATCTAGCAGGCAGTGCAGAAACCTCAGTCATGACAAAAATCTGAGCTTTAGCACCAATTCAAGTCACTGACCACTGGTAACCATTCAACTCCTATCCCTCCCCTGCCCCATCTATTAAAAGAGACTTACAATGACTTTGTTAGAGGCTTCTGATAGTTCTTACAGCATTACATTTCTCTGAAGTAAGGCACTATCAGGAATAAAATCATTCCCAAAGATCAAACACATCTCTAAATATTTAGGAAAGCTTGATTAAAGTGTATCAAATATTCAAGTTTGGTAAGTAACATTGATAGTGAGAAGATCTAGGTAGTAACTCAAAATAACTGACTTACAACAGCTAAAACCACTTCCATGTTATCAGCATCTCAAATTTTAACTAAGGCTTCTACTTGATAATGCCAAGCATGTTGCAACACAAACTGCCCACAGGAACCTTTACAAGCTGAGCTGTACTTTGTATGAGCTGCAGACTAACTTACCAACCTCGAACTTCTCTGCTATAAGGAGTATCGCTAGGATGGGCCAGCTGCTGCCTCAGTTTCCCAGGCAGTCCCTTCGCTCCTGCCAAGAAGAGTCTGCGGGTCCTTGTGCAGGAGAGCAACTCCAGCAGCCCTTGGAGGGTGCTCAGTGAAGCCTCCCCAGGAGGTGTGCCGTGCCTGGCTGGGCTCCCGGTCCTGCTGATGCTCTGGGCTCTGAGTCGCTCTTTCAAAAACCGCTCCTGCCTCCAACTCATCTAGTCAGGAAAGGGAGTCACTAAATACATCAGCTTCTGATAAGAGCTTGAGTTGGTGTGAAAAACAGACAAAATCGGAGAAAGCAGTGGATTTCCTCTCTGCCCTGCATTCCTAGAAAGGTGCTTTGCTACCCCTGGGTTAAGACAGTCAACTAAAGATCACTTTAACCGTTTCAATACTGGTTTTATTAGACAAAGGCAGGCAAGATAGTGCCTTGCCTCCAGTCTTTACAGATAAATTCTATTTTTAGTAAGTTTGATTCTTAGTAATACTAACTTTAATTATAAATTAATCTTGGGATTACTGAATGCTATCTTCCCAAGCATGCAAGCTCTAAAACATGTCTAGGCTGCAGATACCCACAAGATTTATGGAGGCAGCCACCAGCCATTGTCCTGCCAAGACAGAAAAATCTCACTTATGTTACCACCCTCTGTACACAGGCTGGCCAGAAACACAAATGGTAGAAATTCCTAGAGAACTGAGAAGCTTCTTGCTCAGTGAGCCCTATTTAACTTTCCCCTGCAACTCTATTTTCCCACCTACTTTATGTCAACTATTTTACCTCACAACCCTGGCAGTGTCTAAACTAACTTGCAGCCAACTGAACAAAGCACCAGTGAACTTATTGCTGTTCCCCTCCATAGCTTTGGAGCTACATATATAGGAAAATGACACTGGACCAGAGTAATGACTCCGAGGAAACAATGAATCACAAAGGAGTCATGAACGAACCATTTTTTTTTTCCACTTGAACACTTTATATGGTCATGCACACTACAGGAATGAGTTGTCTGCCTGTTTTGTGGGTAATGAACGATCTTTTTTTTTTCCACTTGAACACTTTATATGGTCATGCACACTACAGGAATGAGTTGTCTGTGTGGGTAAAAGTTCCTTCTCTTAAGAGATCAAAACCCCAAACCCCAACGGCTTTTGATGCTTGCAGAAGGAAAGGCTTGAGACAAAAGATCTTAACAGACCCAGAAGAGAGCGGTCATGCACACTACAGGAATGAGTTGTCTGCCTGTTTTGTGGGTAAAAGTTCCTTCTCTTAAGAGATCAAAACCCCACTAGACCACGGCTTTTGATGCTTGCAGAAGGAAAGGCTTGAGACAAAAGATCTTAACAGACCCAGAAGAGAGCGCGAGCATAGCGTGCACAGACTTTTTTTGATAGCAGTGTCTGAAAAGTTGAAGCTAAACTTCTAATTTAAGTTCAGTTTTTGTTTTAAAGCCTCCTCCTTTTAAGGAAAGAATATAGTTTCTAACTTCTGTGCAAAGTGAAAACACAGGAGGGAGTGTAAACTAGACATTATTGTTCGGCGTATCTGCGGATTCTGTAACAGCTCACTTCAATGGTGGGTTAAGGTCTGACATTTAAGTCTCGTCCTCAGTTAGCATCATCCTTTTTCATGCTTTCAGATAAAGCAAAATTTCTACTGAAAGCAAACTTGGGGTCTCATGTACAGTATCATGTAGAGAGCAGCCCTGGAGGGGAGGCTTTAAACAAGCGCTAATTGACTCAGAGCTAATTAGGTTCCTCCCTATCAGTGTGAGTCCCTGTGAATTTTCATGCCTGTAAGTCCTTCTGCCCGCCTATCTCACCCGGCTTGTGACAGAAACACCATTACCGCTCCCTGTAAACCATGCCTTACTACATCCTTAGCTCCATCAGTGCTGTCACAGTGCTTCTACCTTTCTCTGGGCCATACATTTCACCGGATCACATCACCGTGTTCCCAACAAGTTCATGCATCCCCTTTGAGAGCTGCGCGATGCCAGCCAAGGAAACATCAAAGTTGCCCTTCTACTGCCACCTCCCAACAAGTGCTGCCTTGTCATGATTTTACTCCATGAGATCTTGCAAGAGTTGGCTGGTTACTTGGGGGCTTCTGGCTGGGAAGTGGTAGCCAGAGGAGAGAGAATTGGGCTGCAAATTATATGATTTAACAGATTTCACACTTTATAGACTGCTTGACTTCAATTTTTGCTGTCCTGTGCTCAGTGAAGTGCTCTGATTACTTGCTTTGATATTGATTTGGCATTCAATCATGAAAAATGTCCTCTGCTAAGAAAAGTATCCAGAGAAAAGCCCAATTTCACTATGGAGAAGTCCTTTAATGCATTACTTATGGCAACAAAAGGCAGGGCTACTACTTTTAATGTTTAGCTGAAACACTGATTATGAAAGAGTTTCTTTCTGGCAACTGCTCTGGCGTAAAATCCAGGTCTTCTAATACCAAAAACATTTTAATTCTGAATTTCACCTGACATGAGTTTTGTTGCTGATGTGATGCATCGGTCAGGAATTGTGTGCTGCTCCCCAAAGGTCTGCCAATAATGCACCAAAACTAGACAACCTTTGATAAATGTTAGTAGTTAACAAATATAAATGTTATGCAACACTTTATTGCAAAACATATTAAGTAGGAAGAAAAACAAAACTGATGGTTTCAATTAAAAAAAGGCACACTGGCAAACTGCTCTGCAAATCTCCCTAAATCAGCTGCTGCTGACAGTGTTTGTTGCTGGTGATGTCTGGAACGGGGCAGTGCTTCCACCCCACCGTGCACGCTCTTGTTTCCATCTACTTCTATTTTAGCAGACGAAATTGGGCTTTTCTCGGGGTCGCTTTTCCCCATAGCAGATATTTCCCTAAGGGAATGTCAAATCAATATCACTATTTTAATGCATTCAACCATGGAGCAAGAAGTAGTTAGATCATGAAAACAAGCTGCTTCACCAGGTAAGGGCTACAGAATACCCTGAAGTGACTGTGCCGACTGTTCCTGTCGCAGAAATCCACAGCTTAGCTGTAGATTTCTTTCTCTCAGTGTTGA